AATTTTTGCATGATGGCGAAGATTTCCCGGAGGTCGTCAGCATGGCTGGAAGATTGTTTGCTCTTGACGATCATGTCGTCGACATAGGCCTCCATGGTGCGCCCTAGGACGGCTTGAAAGACCCGGGCCACCATCCGGGTGTAAGTGGCCCCTGATGGGCAGAAGATGCCCTCGAGAGTCATGAAGGCAGTTTTTTCGGCGTCTTCCTCGTGCATGAAAATTTGGTGATACCCTCGGAAGGCATCGAGGAAGGACATGATCTCACACCCCGCGGTCTCATCCACTAGTTGATCAATATTTGGTAGAGGGAATGGATCCATAGGACACGCCTTGTTGAGATCGGTGTAGTCCACGCACATGCGGAAGGTAGGGGGCTTCTGTGCGAGGACTACATTTGCTAGCCATGAGGGATATTTCACCTCCTTGATGTGCTTAATGGAGAGGAGCATGGCGACCTCCTTCTTCACAAATTCCCTCCTCTCGGCGGAGAGGAGTCTTCTTCGTTGTTGCACCGCTTTTGCCGAGGGGTCCACCGAGAGGCGGTGGGTGATGACCCTTCGGCTAATTCCCGGCATGTCCTCCGGCCCCCATGCAAAGACAGTGGAGTAGGCGCGGAGGGCGTCGGTGATACCGGTCTTCAGATCTTCAGGGAGCTGGGCTCCAATCTTTACGACTCTCTCAGGCTGGGCCGGATCGAGCGCAAAGTCTTCTACGTCCTCGGCCGGTTCAGCCCTCGGCCTTTTTTCTTCTTGGTCGATGGTTCCGGTGATAGTGTCAACACGGAATTCCGTCTTGCTTACCTTCTTAGTGACTTGAAGATAGCAAGCGCGGGCGATTTTCTGATTCCCCCAGGAGTAGCCAATGCCCCCCTCGGCGGGGAACTTGAGGCAGAGGTGCCTCATGGAGATGATGGCCTCGAGGTCCTCGAGGGCTGGCCGGCCGAGGATAATGTTGTGGGCGCAGTCAATGTTGACAACGACGAACTCCACTTCGAGCTGGGCTCTATGGAGCCCGTCGCCGAAGATCACCGGGAGGGTTATTACCCCCTCGGAATCAATAGTATCGCCGGTGAAACCGGCAAGAGGGGTCTTAATGGGCCGAAGGGACCCCCTCTCCAGATGCAGCTCTCTGAAGGTGTTGAGGTACATTACATTGACGGAGCTGCCCGTGTCAATGTAAGTTCGGTGAATGATGGTGTCGTTTATCTCCGTCCGAATCACCAAGGCGTCCCTGTGAGGAGAAGAAGTAGGAGGGAGATCTGCGTTGGTGAAGGTGATAGGTTCCTCCCTCAGTCGCTTTACCGAGGGCATATGAGTGACTTCCCCCACGTAAAGCGATTGAGCCCACTTCTTTCGTTGGCTGGTGGAATCGCCCCCTGTATTGCCACCGATGATCATGAGGATGTGGCGTTTTTTCTCCTGGTAGTGGGGGTACTCCTCCTCTTCTTCTTCCAAGTTTTCGATCTCCCTCTTCTTGCCGAGGGGGATGGTGTTCGGGTTCACCCAGGCGTTTACCTTCGTGTGGTGCCCTCGGGGAGGTCCCTGATGAGAAGGCCCCTCCTGCCGAGGGCTCTGAACAAATTGGGACAGGTGCCCCGCCTGTATCAATCTCTCGATGGCCGTCTTCAGCTGATGGCAGTCATCGGTTCTGTGCCCCTGGTGTCGATGGAAACGACAGTAGGGGAACTGAGGGTTGATAGCATGTACCTCCGGGGGTGCGCGAGAGTCACGCTCAACGAGGCCCCTCTCCTCGGCAAAATCAAGGATGATGCTGACGGGGTGCGTCAATGGCGTCCGGGGGCGGTCCAGGAGAATGGGTTGTGCCCAAGTCTTAGGGCTGCTCTTATAACCTCCCCCGGGCTTGGCTTGGCCTTGCCGAGGGCGGTCATCAGAGGGTCCTGAAGGTTTGGGGTGATTCGGAGGAGCCCCCGGCCTTCGGTTGTTCCTGTTGTCAGCCCTCGGGGGTTGCTGATCCGGGTGCTGGTGATATTTCTCCACCTCCTCGGCCTCAGCATATCGGTCCCCCCGCTGTAAAGCCCTTATGTAGTCGCGGGGGGGTTCAATGATGAGGCTCCTTGAAAAGTTGCCGGTGCGGAGGACGGTTTGTAGGAGGGCCAGGAGGGTCCCGTCATCAGCGCCGTCGACCTTGTCGGCCTCCGTCCTCCAGCGCTCCAGGAAGTCCCGAAAGGTCTCATCCCTCTTCTGGCGTATGGTTAGGAGGTGGGAGAAGTGCTTCCTTGTGCGACGCCTCCCGGCAAATTGTGTCAAGAATCGCTGGGCGAGTTCTTGCCATGAATCGATGCAGCCCTCGGGCAGCCTGTTGAACCATTCGTATGCCGGCCCCTCTAAGGTGGAGAGGAACCAACGACACAAATATTCGTCTGACGCCCCTACCATCATCATACTGTTCTGGTATTTGCTGTAGTGTTCCTGGGGGTCCGTTTTCCCGCTGTAGGGCTGTATGTGTTGCCCTCGGTATTTTTCCGGGATCCGGGCCGTCAATACCCTTGGGGTAAATGGCGTCCGAGTCCGGAGCTGGATGACGGGTTCCCCGGAGCCCTCGGCCACCTTCTTCTGTAATTCCTCCATTTTGGCCATCATGGCCTCGTATTTGAGGTCTGAGTGAGGGGTGGAGGTGGTGGCGTGAGCTTTGTTGGACTCCATTTCGTCAAGCCGGCGCTGGAGGGCCGCAATAATCTCGTCCCGGGGATCCTTAGGGAGGGTCTCCGCCCCCTGCGAACGAACCCGGGCCGAGTGGGCCTGGTTGATCTGGTGGCGAGCGTCATTGGCATGAAGGGGTGCCTTGTCTTTGTCCCGAGGGGGACGCTCCTCGTCTGCCCTCGAGACGGACCGCCCGCTTTCCCGGGGCCTTTGGAGTGCTTTCCCTCCGAGGCGGTCTTGGACCCCTCGGCGGTCTAGCCCTCCTCCGAGCCGGTTGAGGGCGGAAGTGCGGGGCCTTTCTCTGTTGTCATGGTGGCGGTCCCGGGACTGAACTTCCTGGGAGGACGTATCTTGGGCCACTACCCCTTCGTCATTCCTAACCCGAGGGAGGGGGTTGCCGAAGGGGTGTGGCAGAGGGGGAAGTATGATGTTCTCCCCAACCTGGGGTTGAGCCGGAGCCAAGGTGCCGAAGGCACCCGGGTTCTGAGTGAGCGTTTGGATGAAGGCGGAGAGCGCCGATTGCACGTCGATGGTGAGAACCGGAGGGCTGACTTGGTCATCGCTCCGGTTTTTCTTTTTGGCCTCGATGCCGTGGCGGGAATCGGGGGCATTTTGTTGGATCTGAAGGCGTAGGTCGACAGCCGCCTGTTCCAGCCCAGCGATGACACCGCCCTCGGGAGCCCTGTGAGAGGCTTCGGGGGCGTTGACGTCGCCGAGGGCCAGGTTCTTGTCCTCTACGTTCTTTGAGTTGGCACGTGTTGTTCTCACCATTTTGGTAGAGGGCTAGTGTTTGGCGAAGGGGGAGGGTTTCTTACTTGATTGTTCGACCTCTCAACGAGAGCACCAAATGATGGATAGTCTACCCGGGGGTATATATCCGAAGGGTTATTGCAGGGAATAACCTAGAGAGAAGTCAGAGCGCAAGTAAGTGAGAGAGAGAGTGTATTCAGTATGAATGTCGTGGTTACAAATGGGGAAATGGGGTGCTATTTATAGTAGCAATAAATGCCGGACAGGGACACGTGTCAAGCGCCTATTGGCCGAGGGGTCACCTCAACTGGTTGGCGTTGGCAGCCGCATGTGGCCGCATTTAATGCGGCTGTTGGATGGGACGTCTGTACAGGGTACGGTGATCTGCACGCATGTGAGGCGGATATCATGTCGGGAGAGGTGCCCTCGGCTGCAGAGGACTAGCCGAGGGCTCTTAGTGCTGAGGGCCCCTGAGTGCCGAGGGCTCCAAGTGCCGAGGGCTACTGTTTTCGCCGTTTTCTCCCAGTTCCTCTGTTTGTTCGAAATATCCATGTTGTGATAGTTTGGAGCCTTCGGCTAGGGGGCCGAAGGCACCCCTGGTGCGTATTGTGGGCAGCTTGGTACTCTGGGCGCCATGATTTGGGCCTGTTGGGCCTTCTGGGCCTGTTGGACCTCTAAATGAGTAGTAGGAGTCTGTGGGCCGGGTGTTCCCGGGCCATATACTCCATCAGGGATTGTTTATTAAACAACCTAAAAAAAATACAATAGAAATAATATGAGTATAATTATAAAAATTACATTATAACAAACTAATTAAATTAACAAATCAACAATTATAATACAATTAACAATTTCTTAAATGAAGTCATGAGAATGGAATTAAGCAAAAATTTAACAATTTATAAAATGAGAAGCGAAATAATCCATAAGTGGCTCACACATTGCTTACATTGCTTCTGTACGAAGTCTGCGTGTTTAGTAGTTAGCAGGACACTTGGGTTGCCAGCAGGGTAGATGTTAAGATGGGCCGAGAGGGCCTAGGGGCAATGGTTAAGCCGCACAAGGAGTGAGGGCTGCTGGGGATGGGCTGTTGGGTGGGCTTATAATATGGTGGGCCGCAGGGCATGGGCTCCTCCAAGCCCTAAGGTAATTCCGCCCCGGATTATAGTTACAACAACAATGCCATATGCCATATTTACACTTTCACATACATGAATAAAATACTTTGGTAGGAAATTAATTGGTTGAAGTAAATGAGCGAAGTTTGAATTGCAGAGGCAAGAAAAGTATCGTTACAAAATGGCCATTTCAGTTAAATGTATCAGCTTTATCCGCGATTTCCTCGTCTCTTTGTTTTTTTCTTCTCTTTTTTGCTACCAAAAGAAAACATAAGATCTAAGTAACTGGAATTATTTCCCTACACCACAAAAGTTCTATGAAATCATGAGCACACAAGGCACCTGCGACGAACAATATATGGAGCACTATAACAGCAAATATTGATGGAAGATAAGGTTTTAGACTAGAATTTCTAAATATACATATATGTAATTATGGATATATTCAATAGAAAACATCTGAAGCACCTACCGTCATGAAAAAGAGACCCAATAGGAGGCCACGGTATGGGGCAATATCTGACTCAACCTGCAGCGCAAATTCAGTTTCTGCAAGAAGCAAACCAGCCAAAAATGCTCCTAGGGCCATTGAAAGGCCTGCCTGTTTTCCAGCATTAAACAAGTTAGTTATCTTATTAATGCTTGAACCAGTTATATAGATGTACTAAAAAATGATAACTAATGATGCTTACCCTGGCGGTTAAGAGACTAGTACCAAGAATCACAAGAAGTGTATTAGCTGAAAATATTTCTGCATTCTGATTCTCTGCAATTTGCTTATAAGTTGGCCGAAGAAGCTGCAAATTATATTTAAAAGAAAGAATATCATAAATATCACCTATAGACTTTGCATAGACAAAGATATGACTAGTTTGAAAATCGGTCATGTGACATACATAGTTGTCCAAATTTATTACCCTGTAAGTCACATTTTTGTCCATATATGAAAGTAGTCATTTTTTGGAATTAATTACATAGTAATAGAAACATGAAAACTAAATAATATTACTTGAAATGGAGAAAGTACAATATCACTTTTTAGAATACATTTCTTAAAGATCAGTTGACATGGATCAATATAAAAGAAAAAACCAATCATATGAGCAGATGCTTCTATATTGTTTTAGCTTACAAGACGTCCTCCGGCAATAATGGCAGCAATAGCAATGATTGCCTTAACAGCAGCCAATCCAAGGGCTTCAGCTATGGCCCGAAAACCAACCTGATTACCATAAGCAGCTAGTGAATAAAGCAAGCATAATAACCGAGCAGACAAGGTGTGAAGTTCTTTTTTTCTCATATACAGTTGGCATGCTAAGAAATACCGGAAAGTGCTAGGAAAATGAGAGAGAAAAACTAAGGGCCAGTTTACTAACAGGAATATTCTGTTTTTTCAAAAAAAAAACTGGAAAACTAGAGAAAGGAAAACTGGAAAGCATGTTTACCTGTTTATTCTCCAAAATTAAAAAACAGAGGCATGTTTATGATTTAAATATTTCTCTGAATAGGAGTAAAAACGTTTTGAAATTCCAAAATAGGACCCTTATGTTTTTATAGGAGTAATTTCTGCCAAGTTTGGGAAAAACTGCCATGTTTAAAGCCTAGTAATGCCAAACTTGGCAGAAATTACTCCTATTTAGGGAATAAAAACATGGCAATCCTATTTTGGAATTTCAAAACGTTTTTACTCCTATTTAGGGAATTTTCCCTTTCTGATTTTCTTCTTAAGTCGGAAAACTCACTTTTTGGTGTTGTCCAAAATGGAAAAACGCAGCGCTACACTGCGTCTTGTATTTGTTCTGCGCTTGGGTATGCGATTGGGGCAACTTTGTTTTTATTAAACTAGATTTTAGTATTTTATAACTTACTTTTAGGTATCATAATTTTTCCCAAAATAAATAGGTTTCTAATACTAACTTTGATCCCTAGATCATGAAAAAACATGTTCCTTAAAAAAAGTATTATTAGTTTTACGTACTCAAACATGTTATGAAAAAGCATGTGGCTTTAAAAATAAGTTTCTAATACTAACTCTCATCCATTATTTTCACGGCAAAGTATTACTAGTGTTCTATATTTGTTTTTCAAGACAATATTGTAGTATCTTATTAAAAATGTCACTTATTAAGTCTTGTTCGTTGATTATCATTTATGTAAACATTTTGTCTTATTTCAAATGTTTTCTAATTATGAGTACTTTATTTTTATGTATACACACATTAATTTTTTAACGGTGTGAGGTAATATTTGTCATTTTTTACGCCTTCGGTTCTATCCGGTTTCAGCTTCTCAATGTATATACTTACTTTATGTTTTTGAAAAATGAAATGGAAAACAAAAGAAATTTGGAAAACATGTGTTCAGATTTGGAAAATGAAAAACTGAAAAACGAAAAAAACGAAAACAAAAAACTGAAGAAATAAGTAAACGGGCCCTAAGTTATTCTTTGTGTTTGGTCTTTTTACCTATACGAAAGAAACTAAGATATGATCCAATATTGAATTTTTACATATATTTAGATTTCTTAGTCTTTACATTTAAGAAGTGAATAAATAAAAACGAGTTTGAAAATTATTGTAAATAAATTTATGGAGTTTGAACCAATGATTTATTTTCTCCCACATTTTCTTTCCTTCGAAATTTCTCCTATACTCCCCCCACCCCCTTTCATCCCCTAGCTTTTTTTGAGTTCCTAATGGCCTCTAATTGAATTTGATGCAGACACGAGTATGATAATTGGAAACCAGAAGGAACTATTAATGTGGATTGTGGATAGTTGTTCAAGCATAAGGCTAAACAATTCTTGAATTTGTGTAATAAGTGCATATGAGAATCTTTACTACAAAAATAGAAATTAGAAAATTACCCCTCCTTTGGAAGAATTGGGTGAAATGAGAGGTATGAGTATAAGCAAAACAACCACTGCTAAATCCTGAAGGGCAGGAAAAAAAGTTGATTAGAATACTTAGAAGCAAGGACTGATAGGGAAATACGAAAGAATGATCAGTATATAATGGAAGTGAGGATCATGAACGATGAGGGGAATGGACATTATGAAGCTTCTACATATTTCTTAAACTTGCATTCTTCAAAAAGCATGAGGATACCTGAAAGAGTAATACAGAAAATGTGGCTCGTCCATGCCGTGAAGTGCTCTCACCACGTTCCTGCAATACCTGCATAGATTGATGGACTCAAACTAGTAACCAACCATGACTTAAGCTGGAAACAGCACATTGCGTTAGAGATAAGGAGCAACAAAAATAGGGAGTTCTATTTGGTTAAGTGTCCAAAATCTGATCTTTAATGAGCTTGAGTCTAATATATGTGCGTGAAGAATACCTCACTTCTTGAGGATCCTTTTTTAAAAGATTAGGTCCAGTTTAATATGGTGTTAGAGTTTATTATTCTGGTCCAATTGGGTTTGTTTGAAGACCCGTGGCTTGGGACAGCCCGATAGAGGTTTGTTTAGTCCATTTTGTCAACCCTTTCCTATTTTCAAGCAAAAGAGCACGTCAAACCACTACAAGAAAGCTTGTATTTTATCTGGTCATAGATCTTTGATATGAAAGAGAAAGAGTCACACTTGATAATTAGAAGTTGTAGCCTATACCCCAGACTTCCAAAGCAGCAAAAAGCAGGAAGCGTGTGCTGATATGGTGTGCTCTAAGAGCCTTTTGGGGATAGTCAGGCACCCAGGCCCAATTTAAGACACTTCAATCACCTTGAAAATATATTTTCAGACTTACCTGAAGGACAACAGCAGTGGATGACAACGCAAGACCATTGCCAATGACAATTGCAGCAGGGCCGTGTTGTGCCGCGAAAAGATGAGCAACCATGCCTGCCACTGCAGCTGTCACTAATACCTGCACTAAAAATATATTGACTTCATTTTAAAATGAACTGTTATCAGAAGGGAAAAAAACTTGTCAAAATACTCTTATATTTCCATCACCTGTGCAGTGCCCAAACCAAAAACATATTTCTTCATTGAACTTAGCCGCTCAACTGAAAGCTGTTAAATTTAGAAGAAAGCAGAAATCAACATTCATACGTAGAGTTTTAAATCACAGAACCTTCAAAAATAGACTGACTACTAGTTGATTGATTATTATTTTATTGGACTTCACCTCAAGACCAATGTTAAATAGCAAGAAGACAACACCGAATTCAGCAATTGCCTTAGTCCCGTGTACATTATGAATAATAGATAGACCATAAGGTCCAATCAAGATACCACCAGCCAAGAATCCAAGAACAGGGCTACCTGAATATAAAGGAAGACAGAAAAACAACCAATGATCTATTATAAGCCAAAAGAACGAGCAAAATGAGGCAATACAGTTACTAGTTGACAAAAAATGAGCAATGTTAACTTACCTCCGGGAATTTTCTGGAATGCGGGCACAAAAATAACACTGGCAAGCAGTAGCCACAAGATGTCACGAAGGGACGCTTCTTCCTCATTTATCTATGAAAAACAGAGAGCTATGCTACGAATCATATAAATACAATACAAAGAAAATAACCATACTATCATGGGATTATGATGAGATACTAATTGAAAAAAGTCAAGGGCATACCTCTTCATGAGGAATCTTTTCCAATAGTTTCTTGATTTTCTTAGGCAGTTTTCTTATTTTCTGGACTAGAGGCTTTGTGTTAGCTGAAACCTCGTGAATACTAGAGGCATTGGTCTCTTGCGGTTGGAATAAATTACGCACCCGGTCTGAGCGATTGAAGTATAAGGCAAACCTGTGATAGGTTTCAACTTCACTTCAATGCTAGCAACCAATGAAAACCAAAGCCAATAAAACTTTTTTAAGCAAAAAATAATAATCAGCAGACTTACATAAACTACTACTCCCTCCGTTCAGCTAAATATTGTCAACTTTCATTATTTGACCATCCCAAAAGTTCACCACTTCCCATTTAAAGAAACAAATAAGTGGTATAATTTATTTTTCTCTCATCGCACAGCCTCAACAGCACCATATTTACTTTCTTAGTCTACTTGCTACATCAGAATTAAAAAAGTTTAGAGGGACGTAGGGGAGTAGTATATTTACTGTTCAGTATGGAACAAACGCAACAAGAAACTTGGGTCATAAGTAATTCTGACCCTGCTCCAAATAGCAATGAGCCAACAACCACTTTGGGGAAGTGTTTCTTTGCCGACTCCATTAGACCGTGAAAAAAAGAAGCATGTGTCAATTCCAAACCATCTGCAGGAAAGGAGAAGAAGGATGCAGAGAAGAAACGGGATGACTTTTTCAATAAGGCTTTTGGAGCATTTAATGGTGAGCTGTCCCTGGGTAACTCCTTGGGTAACACTTCCTGTGTTTTATTTTGCACGCTAGTTGATTTTTCTGAATCAAGTTCACCATCTTTCAAAGATTCGGGGATGGATCCCTTCCCTTGGTCACTTTCAGATAAGTGGGATTCGTCCGATGGGATGTCTGCTACAAGCTCAGCAGATACAAGATCGGCATCAACTGAAACCTCTCCATGCTTTTCAATACCTTTGACCGGATTCCATGGCTTCACCTCATCCTCAAGAACTACCCCCTCTGTCAATGTCTGCACTTGTAAAGATCCATTTGGAGTCTCTGAGGAATCCAAAGAAGAGACTGTTAGATTTTTTTCTGCTTTCTGTATGGCAATCTCCAGGTCATCCACACGCTGAGTAGCATCAAGCTCAAACGCTACAGCTTTTTCCGCTAAAACCATTATATTCGCCACATCTTCTTCAGCTTTGAGAGCATTCATTTGTGCCTTCTCAGCTGCCTCATTCAGCTGTTGAATTTCCTTTTGCATCCCTTCCTTGCGGTTCTCTAATTGCCTCAGTTCAGCTTCACAACTGGCTAAATAATCTCGGCATTTCCTCACTTCTTCTAGAGCAGCCAAAAGTGCTTCATCCACCTTCTCCTCCCCCTCTTTTAGTGTAGATGTGACTTCTTCTTTGTTTTCTCTAGAATCTTCTAGGGACCCGTTCCTTTTTGCAACTTCTGGTGAATCCATTACCACCTGGAGCCTTGCCTCCGCCAAAGAAAGTGACATGGTTGCTTTTTGTATGGCTTCTTTAGCCACAGCTTCCTCATTCAGTGTCTCTTGGATATTGCTGTGAGCCTTGTTAACTTCATTCCAGGCATTTGCTGCTTCATCCTTCAATGCTATTGCCTCTTCTGATATCCTCTGTGCTTTCTCCTCAAACATGGTGCTGTTAATACGTGCAACCTCCAAATCTGTACGTGCCTTCTGCAACATTTCCCTTAAATCGTCCAAACTAGGTTCCATTTCTTCATCATTCTCAACAATCTCATCCTTCGAACTGCTAATTTCCACCATGGCATTGGACTCACTTCTGGAACTCTGGTCATTTCCACCCTCATTGGACTCTGCATCTCTGCCGCTACAATCAATATAAGCTATTGAATCATTTCCTTGACAATGGGACAAGGCTTGTCCCCCGTAGGACTTAAAAGAAATACAGTTTCCAAATGAACAAGAATTCCGCAAGTGGCAATTGAATAATAGCCTAGAATTTAGATCCCTAGTACCAATGAATCCCTTAAATATCTTTCTTCCTTGACTGTTGTACATAAATTTCAAGTTCCTAAGAGGTTTGTAATCAAAACCGCTCCGGGATGCGTTTGGCCGTTCTAGTATTCTATAAGTCACAGCTCCATTGCAACTTACCACATTTGGCTGGTAAACGCAATATGCAAATCCCATTCTTCTACTCTAATACTGAGGGTGGTAGGGTCAAAGTTTAACAAAACAATACAGCAACGTCTCAATTGCCTGGAATATGTCACCTGGTTTAAGCAACACACAACAAAAAAGAAATACTTTCATATGAGCAATGATTGTGAAACAGTTAAAAAGGTAAATTTCCCCATAAAACTTGATTGTGTTTCATCTAAACGCAATTTACCATAAACAGCAACCGCAGCAATCTACCATTTCAAAGAATGTGCTTATTTAACTTAAGATTTGAACACCATTGCTCGTTACTTCGAGCACTAGTGACAGCGCAGAGGGGGTACTGGACGAGGAGGGTGAGAAATCTGCTGGGGCAGATAGAGTGGTGGATGATTGTGTGTTTGGGCCGGAATTTAGCAAGGGCGGGGCAGCAACAGGTAAGGGCGGTCTGGTTCGAGGAAAAATGGTGGCTGGTGATGAGTTGTCACTTGTCACACGTTGAAGCTGAGTCATCAGGATGGTGGCGGTAGATGGACAGCAAATTATACCCTAGGACGGGTCTACCATCCGCATGGTATACCGGTCGTAAACGGCGTCGTTTTGCTTATTAAAAAATTAAATTAGCTCTTTTCATTAATCGAACCTGCAGCTCATGGATAACTGATTTCTCTCCGCTCTGCGATCCCTTCGATTCGTTTCTAAGGTTCTTAGATGGATTTTTCTGTCGACGATTCTGCTCTTTTTGCTTCTGATACACACGATAACATTAATCATTCAATTGATGATAATGATTTCGAAGTTGATCAGCTGGTTGATGTTGAATTGATTGGTAAGTATAAATTTTTCGTGCTTTATGAATTGATCAGCTGGTTTATGTTTTATGAATTTTTCATGTTTTTCGAAGTTGATCATGTTCTCTGTTTTATACCATTGCTTGAGAATTTCGATTGTATGAGTATTCATAGTTTTGATTTTATGTTCAGGAGAAGAAGATACTATTTCAAAAGCTTCTAAATTGTTATATCTTCTTAGCAGAGGTATTTATTCTGTCATGTAACTTCATTTCATTTTGGTTGTAATTCCGTTCGATGGTATTTAACTCGCGTCTCAATTGTGTGTAACTTGTGTTCTCGGATATGTAACTGTTGTTTAATTTAATGTAACATTGTGACAGTATGTAGTTGTTGATTGTTTTTCATATATATGCTTTATAAATTGGCAGATTCATTGGAAAATGTTCACCAGTCAACTGAGAGTAAATCACTTGTTGGGCTTAGTGTCAATTGTGAACAGGATGCTTACAAACTTTACAATGATCATGCTTTTGAAAATGGATTTGGTATTCGTAGATGCAGACAGAGGTTTAGGAGTGGGAATGTAAGTTTGACTATGAAGTCTTATTGTTGTTGGAAAGAAGGGAAGAAACTACAAAAGGGCACCGAAAACAAAATGTATACCAAGTTAGATTATCGTACTGGTTGTAAAGCGATGTTACAGTTTACTATTAGTAGTGATGGTGAATGGACTGTCTCAAAGCATATTATTGATCACAACCATGCTTTCTGTGCAATTGGTCAAAGACACCTGCTGAAATCACATAGAGGCGTTGATCGTGAGTATCTTGAATTTATTATGTTGATGAAGGAGAGTGGAACAAAGGTTTCAGATGTTCACAGGATGCTTCAAAAACAGGCTGGTGGTGTTAGTGCTCTTGGATTCACGAAACGTGATGCTTATAACGTTCTAGAATCTGAAAGAAGTAAAACGTTTGATGGTACTGATTCGAACACTTTGATTGGTATATTTAAGAAAAAGGCTGAAGTGGAATGTGATTTTTTCTTTGATTTTGAGTTGGTTGATGGTATACTGACTTGTTTTTTCTGGAGAGATGGTCAAATGAGATCTGATTATGAGAGGTTTGGAGATCTTGTTGTGCATGATACAACTTACAGGACTAACAAGTATGATATGATCTGTGGTCCATTTATTGGTATGAATCACCACTGTAAAAATATAATGTTTGGTTGTGGCTTTATTCTAAATGAAAGGGTGGAGTCTTTTGTTTGGTTATTTCAGACTTTTCTGAAATCTATGGGTGGTAAACACCCCATCAGTTTCATGACAGACCAGTCATTTTCCATGGCAACGGCTATCAAATCTGTATTTCCTGGGGCGAGACATAGACTCTGCACTTGGCATATAGATGAGAATTCAAAGAAACACATCATGCATCTACGCAAGAAGATAAATTTTGTTTCTCTTTTTGATTATGTTGTCAAACGATGTGATACTGTTGCAGAGTTTGATTTCTATTGGAATGAGTAAGTTATTGTTATCTGATGTAACTTCGTGATTATTTTACGTAACATTTTCAATCATTTGGTGTAACATATATATCTTCATATGTAATCTTGTCTTCTTTTCAAATCTGTTTCAGATTGAATACAATTTATGAATGCAGTGACAACACATGGTTGAAGAGGCTGTACAGTCATAAAGAAAAGTGGTGTCCTGCTTTTTCGAAGGATTACTTCTCTGGTGGTGTTTTATCCTCTCAAAGAAGTGAATCTACAAATAGATCTATATCTAGAAGACTTACCAAGACTGCAACATTATGTGATTTTTACAAAATGTTTTGTGATGTTGTTGATGAATGGAGGTTAGATGAGAATGGTCATGATTTTAGATGTTCTGAAGGCACCGTTGAGATGGTATTGCTACAAGACACTTTGTTGACTCATGCGAGAGATGTGTATACCCTTGAGATTTTCAAAGTGTTCCAAGAACAATATTTGAAGGGTATGTCACATTTTTTTAAATTAATCTCACAGAATTGTCATGACTATGTGTATCATGTTTGGTTGAATGGGGTAGATATGATTAGACACAGTGTTACTTTTAATCGGCATGACAACACAGTGACATGCACTTGTAAGATGTTTTCTGAAGTTGGCATTTTTTGTAGACACATTTTGCGTATATATAATGTGCATTGTGTCAAATGTATTCCCCAAGTTTATATACTCTCTAGATGGACAAAAGCTGCCATTCTGCAAAATGTTAATCTTTCTGTTACGCACGAAACCGATATTATGTTTGGCAAAATATTGGAAGATTTTGATTGGAGAGTGCAAATGACTAGGAAATTCAACTCAGTATTGAGTGCAAGTGCTGGTTTTCCTGAAGCTAGACGAGTATGTGATCAAGGATACGAGTCTATTAAACATTTTTTAGATGCACAAAGAGATGCTTCTGTTGTGGATGAATCTGCTTCTAGGACAATATTGGATCCTCCACGGTCTCGTTCTAAAGGTCAGCGAAATACCCGAAAGAGAAGTATTGTTGAGAAACAGTGCAAAATAGTCAAAGCTCGCCGTTCGAAATCCCAAAATGTTGCCTCCAATTCAAAAGCAGTTGCTCAATCTGTTGTGCAGGTATTTGTTTATTTTTTTTTATGTATTTTATGCATATTTTCTTATCATTAATTTTTGTTTTGTTTGATTGTAAGACACTGTTAATTTCATGGTTCCACAAGGTTATGTACTTGCTCATCCAATTGGAGGAATGACGTCTTTAATGCATGTGTCTGGATCTCCACAAGTTTTTGCTCCATACTTCATGCAATCCAATGCTTTGAACCAAATGCAGAATTAGTTATAGTCACACATGTTTGGAAAACCAAATGCTTTGAGGAGTTTACATATCATATTGTGAACTTTTACTTTTGTTGCAACTTGAGTTACATTTGATTTTATAGAATTTATATTGTCTTTACAGTTTGTTTACATGTCATACAGCATTACCATAAATACAATACGCAATCAAGTTTGTTTACATTTATTTAGATTACAGAATGTAATCTGTGCAGTCACAGCTCAGTAACAGTAGTTACATTGTTTTTCCCTTCAGTTACATAGTTCTTTAACGTGACTTACATTTGTTGTACTCATTGTTTACATCAGATGTGTATTACTTGATTAGCTAATGCAAGGGTACATAAGTTATATAAAGTGAGAAGAACGCTTTAGGTGAGAAGTGAGAATGAATCTCAGCCGTTGGATTCGACATAAAACATATAAAACAAACGAGTTTACATCAACTTATCATAATCCAACATATAAGTTTTCCACATACTAAACAGATAACTTTTGAGGTGCATTACAAGCTACTGCATAAAACCAAGAAATGTCTAAAACCCATACCACTGCATTACAAGCTACTGCATACAAACAGATAACTACTGCATAACCCATACCACCACACCCTCCATAAAACCATGAAATGTTTTGACTGTAACCCCATCATATTAATTAATTACATCTTCAAGTAGTCTTTTGCTTTTTTCAAAATGTTTTCCCTTTCTTTGTTAAATTTTGACAGTAAAACTTGAGATGCATACATCAATCTCATCTTTTGGATTGTTTCATTTTGAGCTTTTATTCCATCATTTGTGGCAGCAGTTGCAAATCCAGAATCCCATACATGTCCTTGCCCACGAAACGTCTCCAAGTGACGCAAAGTATATACTCCACAGTCAACGTGATTGCTATTATGTCTCCATGGCATGTATAAGATTCTGGGGACCCAACTTGTTGTGCTTGAAATCTGCACTTTCTCACAGAAGGCTTTGAATCCTTCATGCTATACAAGAAGTAACATTAATGAATTAAAATAATATGGAATAATATGATTTCTTATTTCCAAAAACATTGTATTGAATTTTTACCATTTTTTTTCAAAGTTTTGCCATATTTGTCCTCAACGCTCACCCCATCTGGAAGCATCCGGTTGTCAATTACATCAACAATGTTGTTTGTTGTGTAAAAGCAGTAGATATAATAGTGCTCATGATTGTGAATGGGAAACAGTATCTGCATTATTATAAATTCATCTTCAGTTACATAAAATAATACAGAATCTACATAATTCATATCAGAACTTACATCCCTCAGCTCTGTAGTTACATACTACGGTATTATTTTTCACCCTTTGTTTTAAAAGCATTTTTAACAATATATCTTATACACTGACTTACATAAAACAATAGAGTTTACATAATTCATATGAGAACTTACATTAGTCAACAGTTGCAGTTACATATTATGCTAAACATTTTCTATTACTAATATTGTTTCACACTGATTTACATTTAAGAATATATATATAAGGATTACCAAATTTGACTTGTGTTTTTACACTTGAATTATGTAAAATTAAATATTAATGACATTTTACCATATCTAATTTTGTGACATCTGCTGCAGCATCATTTATTTCTTTTTGCAATCTATCAACCATATTTTCTATTGGGTCACCAGATGCAAAAGCAAACATTGCCTGCACATTCAAATTGAGTCACTCTTAGGAAAATATAGAAACTGAAGTTCTCTACTTTATTTTACAATTTTACAAGAAAAAAATATACATACATATACTTGGGTTGACGCAATGAAGGCACGCTTTGTAGACTTATTTGATTCTTCTCTGTCATTCAGAATCTTAGTGAATACATCAATTATTGAGTTGTCTACATTTCCTTCTTGAAGTGTCTGAATTTCTTCATGAGTTATAAACACACCTTCCTCATCTAGATAGACACAGTCTCTAACAGAATAATATTTTTCAAACAAATTGAAACAATTAATTATCAAATGGTGTTTATATTGAAATAATACATTATATAATATTAGTTTTTCTTACTTTTCAACTTCTTTTGAGAATCCCCAATCAAGAACAATCTTTTCATCTCTGCTAAATTCCTTGCATAGCCTTCTATTATTCTTCAGAAAAGGTGATCTGTAATTGACAATTGAATCACCTAACTTTCGAAGCTTTCTCTTTTTGGTATATGGCTTTAGACCAACACTCCTTTGTAAAAAATAATATAATGTTAAGTTTATTTTATTAGTTAAAAGTATTGATGAATTACATAAGAAAAAAATAAAACTTACTCTGACTTATTATCAATTTCCTTGTTTACTTCTCCATCATCTCCAGTCACTTCTTCCTCAACAGCCATTTGAGCCACTTCAGCCACTTCAACATTACCATTCACTTCTCCATCAACAGAAACAGTTTCAGTCATTCCAGCAATGGTGTCAATCATCACATCTTCCACTCCATCAACAGTTTCAGTCATCACATCTTGTACATCAGGAGCAGTTTCAGTCTTCACAGCTTCTACATCCACTTTTGATGTGCCTTCACCCTGTGACATGTTAAACTCAATTCCTATGTCAAATGAAGGCATTGAAAATTTCAGGAATGCTGCTTTCTCTAGTTTCTCAAGGGCTTCCATAACTCCAGGCTCATTAAAGAAGTCATCATCTTCCTCAAGGACACACTTCTCTGATAATCGTTGAGTTCCTTTTGCTTGATTTCCATTTGCTTGATTGATGAAGTAATCAGTTGTGGTCAAGTATATCTTCTTCAAGATATCAGAATTGGGGAACTTTTTTGCAATGGTTGACGGCAACTTTGAGAATTCCACAAAAGCATCACTAAACTTTTGTGCCACAGCTATAATCTCCTTCACACAATCCTATAAAAATTATAATAATAGTTGTTTAATAATACATAAGATACATAGTTATTGAATTAAGATTACAGGCTCCTTGGAAAAATCCTATAGTTATGTAACAATTGATTTAAGTTACATAAAATAGTCTTTAAGATCACAAAGTGTTGTATTAAAATTTACCTCCTTTGACAACATTTCAGCATCTTCATTTTCTTCATCTTCTTTTCCTGCTTCCTCTTCATCTTTGTCTTCCTCTTCGACTGTTATTATTCGCTTTGTCACCTTTCCCAGACCAAAGCCCACCTTTCTCTCATCTTTGACTCTTTTGTCAATTCTCTCCTTGTCCCAGATTCTAATGGTTGGATAAGCACTCTGCATAATTTGGCCTTTGAATTGTACTCGGTCAAAGTAACATATCATTAGAAACAGTAATGGTCCACTGAACATCTTTGATTGATTAGTTTGCCATTCCTCGCGTGCATCCATCAACGATCTTATTGTGTAGTTGCACCAATTCATGTTTGGTATATCAGCTACATTAACCAAAGACATCAATATTTTAAAATTGCTGTTAACACTCTGGTTTCCTCTGATCAGGCAAGAGACTGTAAAGACCACAAAGTTTCTGATGAATCTGTCTCCAGAGTCAGTATCTGCAACTATTTTTTCAATCATTTTTTATGTTTGAGGGCTTCCTTTATCAATCCCCCATTCTTCTCTCCATTCTTGTAGCAGTTGGGTATACTCTTCAGTTTCATTCTTCGCATTCGCTTCTTGAACTTCTATCTTTCCCTTTGGCAGACCAAATACAGCTTTGACATCTTCATCTTCAATATCTAGCAGCTCACCATTGGCAAGTTGTAGCTGTCCTGAAATTGGTCTAAAGTTCTTCAACAAAAACGCAACCAAATCTCCACAGAATCTGTCAAAGTTTAAATGCAGTAATCCCCCAAATCCAATCCTTTCAACTGCTGCTTTTTTTCTTTCATCTAATTGTTTAATCAACTTTATGAAAGGGGTTGGTCCTACTCTTGTTCTTAGGTTTACAGAAGGCGGCCTGTTGCTTGTCTCCACTTCTTCACATTCATCGTCTGATTCTTCAGATTCTGCTTTCTTCTTTTTTGGGGCTGCTTTTCTTTTTTTGCTTGTTGTTGGCTGATGATATTCTAGCCTTAGAATCGGTTCTTCTGTGTTCAGTATCCTTGCAGTTTCATTTTGATGTTCTGTATGCTGAGTTTCATTTTCAGGAGCTACATCACTTCTTGTTCTCCTTATATTCCACATGAGTTACATTTTTGTCACACACAATTGCCATAATAGTGAAATGAAGTTACATCATTCACAATCAGATGAACAATGTCATGTGGAGCACATGAGTTACATCTTGTCACACACAATTTACATAACAGTGAAAAGAAGTTACATCATTCACAATGAGATGAACAATGTCATGTGGAGCACATGAGTTACATCTTTTTACACAATTTACATAACAGTGAAAAGAAGTTACATCATTCACAATCAGATGAACAATGTCATGTGGAGCACATGAGTTACATCTTTTTACACACAATTTACATAACAGTGAAAAGAAGTTACATCATTCACAATCAGATGAACAATGTCATGTGGAGCACATGAGTTACATCTTTTTACACACAATTTACATAAAAGTGAAAAGAAGTTACATCATTCACAATCAGATGAACAATGTCATGTGGAGCACATGAGTTACATCTTGTCACACACAATTTACATAACAGTGAAAAGAAGTTACATCATTCACAATCAGATGAACAATGTCATGTGGACTTGCTTACAGTCACAGACCAAGGCAGAGGATTTATGTATTATTATACACAAGTTACATAAAATTAATAAAGTTAATCTAGTATTAGTTTCAGTGACATGCAACACTATATCACAAAAAAAAAATCAATGACAAACTAAGGCATAACAAACATATTGAGGTATGCAACACTATATTACCAAAAATTGTAGTTACATCGACAAATTCCTTATTATGCTCGATGACATATGAGCATTCGCACTTTGCTTATTCAAATTGAGATCACAATAAGACATAAATCACACTATTCAATACTCAATCTCTTTCGTTTTTGAGAGTGACTTACATGCATGTTAAAATTTATAGCAAATTAGCACATGAATCATATTGTTACATTTTCAGAGATACATTTTGAACTTCAAAAAGCAAAGTACATAGTTCGTTCGGATGAAATACCTTGCAACTGTTTTGCCTTTAGACCTCGTCATTTTCTCGATCTGCAAAATGTTCTTCTTCGTTCGGATTCTTACTTTTCCTTCTTCAGAATGCACTTCGAATGGTGGAACTCTGTCTGATGGAACTTGATGGAAGCGTGAAGTCAGAAAGTTTATCGAGAAATGTAAATAGCCAATGTCAAAAGACGCAGCTATGGGAAGAAAAGACGCGCCGATTTCGAGAAGGCCGTTTGTGCGCGTTTTTTTAATTAATAGAACGACGTCGTATTGATGCGGGTGTAGCATGCTCAAACTGGGCCGGTCCTATGGTATACGGACTCTAGATGGACGGGCGGGAGTTTATGATTAATTATTGTGTATTTGTCAAATTTTTCGTAAATAATTATGATTATAAAAGTCAAAACATTCTGTTATAATAGTAAATAAATTTGAATTTTAAATTTTTTTGTTATTTGTGACTTGTCAAAGTTGATCGACACGGAGAATAATAATAAAGTAAATATTGTGTGGTTGAGGTATGTGCAGAGGAGAGAGAAATAATAGAAACCACAAAATAATTGATTAAAAAGGAAAGTAAAAAAGTTTTAGGGAACGTCCCAAAAAAGGAAAGATGATAAAGTTTTAAGGGATGGAGAGAGTATTTTTTATAAAAGTAACCGTAAAAAAATATTTTTAATCGATATCTTAATTTTAGTATTTAAATTTATCTAAGAAAAAAATTAAGTTTAAAAATCTCCGGCAAAACTAATTTCATTTATTTGAATTTTTGTTATGCAATATTAGTGTCATATTAAAAATCATAAAAAATTATAAATTTTAATATATTTTTGTAAACAATAGTAATAATAATAGTAGTAGTTTTTTCCTAAAATAATGTTAAATAAAAAAATAATTCCCAAAATAAGTCAAGTTAAAAATATTTCCTAAAATATTGTTCCCCTAAATCAGGGTAAAACATAAAGGGACAGTGGTCCCACAAAAAACCTAAAGGGACTCACGTTACAAGCAAACAAACGAAAACATGGGATAGTGGTCCCACAAAAAAATAAAACCCCATTTGTATTTCAACGTGATATATCTTTTTTATTTTTACTTTGATTATTACAGAAAATACACCAAAATTCATAATTTTTCATTATCTTTCCTATGACACCAATATTGAATATATAAAAAAAAAAAATTAACACTTTAAAAATATCTTTTTTTGTAAATATTATATCTTTTTTATTTGTACTCCGATAGTTACAAAAAATATATCAAAATTTATTTATTATCTTTCAAAAGACACCAATCTTGAATATATAAAAGTTAAAAATTAATTCTATTAATTTGTGCAATTTAGGATCGTTTTTTTTGCACACAATTAATGAGGGGTTATTGCTTAGAATCAAACTTCATAAAGAATAAAAAAAATAAAGATGATTGAGTTTGTACAGTTTTATTCTAAGCTATTACTCCTGATTACTTGTGTGCATAAAAAACTAACTGCACAAATTAATAGTATTAACTTTTTAGTTTTATATTTTCAAAATTAGTGTCTTATGAAAGATAATAAATATTTATGAATTTTGATATATTTTTTGTGACATTCGGAGTACAAATAAAAAAGATATAACATTTACATAAAAAGATATTTTTAAAGTGTTAATTTATTTTTTTATTTTTATATATTCAATATTGGTGTCGTATGAAAGATAATGAAAAGTTATGAATTTTAGTGTATTTTCTGTAATAATTAGAGTACAAGTAAAAAAGATATATCACATTGAAATACAAGAGTTTTTTCCGGATTAATATGAAAAATATGAAAGTTATAGTCATTTAAAGAAAATAGACGATTTCTTCTAAATTGACTCCACCTCTTCCCATATGTGTTAATTAGAGAGTCGCCCAGCGGACTGCTTCCTTTGTACGCAGTTTCTCCCGATTAATTAGAGAGTTGCCAAACGGTTTTTGTGACTTTATAAGTCGCCAAATGGTTTGGCGACTTTCCCCGACCAGGGTTAGGCCCAACAGTATATTGGTAAATAGTTTTAACCCAACATTAATTTCGTAATTAATTAATTAATTAACATTAATCCGGAAAAAATCTCGAAATACAAATGGGGTTTTATTTTTTGTGAGACCACTGTCCCATGTTTTGGTTTGTTTGCTTGTAACGTGGGTCGCTTTAGGTTTTATTTAAGCCGTCATTTCAAGTGACGATTCTCCTGACCATGGTTTAGGGGAGCAGTATTTTGGGATGTTTAACATTATTTTTTGTATTTAACATTGTTTTAGGAAATAGAAATATATTATGGAGTAATTGGGATGTTTTTAATTCAAAATAACGATGATGATGATGTAATAATAGTGATACATAATTGGCGGGATTTCGGTTAACGCAAAAAAAAAATTGAACGTTTACAATATTTTGATTTGAATGCTTTCAATTATAAGCTAGATCAGACCAGATTAAAAGAAACTACACCAAATCAGATCAAATTTAAATACAATAGACTTGATCAGATTAGAATAAATAAGTAAAATATACATAGACTTGACACTTATCATGCCAGATCGGGTTAGACCATCACACCAAACTTCAACGGACCTGACCATAAAACTTTAATCTAATTAAAAACATCATCATTATTGTCTTGCAATACATAAGAAAATAACAATGACATTTTATATGTATAGATCATAGTTATATTATTAATAATAACAGTCTTCTATCGATATTATAACTAGAATAAAAACTAAAATAATGACACATTTACTATATTAGTAAATCTTAGTCACTATAATTATGTTTGACTTTGTACTATATGAAGTAATAGTCATAATAAGTTTAGTCATATTTTTGTTCAATAATTTTATTCCTGTAAAATTATAAGAAAATTCTTTTTATGGAGTGTGTCTGTAAGGAGGCACATCATAGTACCGTGTCTTTTCCTTTAACATAAGTCGAATCTTTTTTAAAAAAATGGAAATTTTAGTTAGATGAATTATAACTTTTTATAAAATTCATTTATTTGTATACCCTGATAGTAATTATTAAGAATTTGAAAGCAACAATGAACAGTTTGAGTACGATACTAATTCATTGTGTAATTCTTTCTTTTCCATTTTACAAAAATTCAATGATCACGTAGAATTACTCTGTGCTGATTTTTGTCCTTCACGCAGCAGGTACATAGTCTGTATGAGTCAAAATTCAAGGAGGAAAGCATTTGGGA